ATTCAGGCTGCATTTTTACTACATTTTTAAACAGTGTCTCCTGATGTTCAACCAGGACATAGTGTGCATTGGAAGAGACATCAGGAACACACTGCTTTTGTGCCATATTGGAACAAATATTATTATGGACTTTTAAGAAAATACAGTAGTGGAGTCCCAGGCAGGCAATTCTTGGGTGCATATTTCACAACTAAAGTATTAACTCAGATTTCTAGACACTTGGAAGGCTACTGCAACAGATGTCAAAACAGCATTCTCATACAATTCTGCAAAGCTTCTGGTATTTTGAAGCCCACAGCTGACCCGCTACCTTCAGGATAAGCTAATTATCTAGAACAATAAAGAACTTCCACTCATGACCTGTGACCAAGACTCCTGCCTAACTCCTGTTCATATTCATTCTCATTAGTATCAATATTGTCTCATACTAATAAAATGTCCCATAGTTTTCTGCAGACCTGTTTGTTTTGTATTCATAATGGCCCTTTTGCCTGTATTCTTACTCGTTTGTATAGTTGTTGAGTGGAGTAAGAAGTCAGAGTCTCTTAGTTGATGTCTGTCCTTGGGCAACATAAGGCCCATCTCTCTGTCTTCTATTCTTGCTCTAACCATGGAAATACTAGTAAAGAATCAGAGGTGTCCCCCCTGTGCTCTGTGCTGCCAGTGGGAGGCCAAACCCCACAAGACACTTCCAGCGAGTGGGAGCCCCCACCCTGCCCCACAACAGAACAATTATTCAAACCCTGGTCAGTCTCTCTTCCTGCTGAATAAAGTGCTGTGGGCTTTCTTGAGAGGCCTGCTTTGCTCTGCAGACAACTCACTAATGAGGACATTAAGCCTGTCCATGTTCACTTAGTATGGATGTGTGTAGGATGTGCCCAAGCATATGTGTTATCTTCAGATTCGACATCCCTTCCAAATTTGAGTGCAGTTCTCTATGCCTTTGTGTAATGGCAGCTACAATTGGTGCTGTGAGCTTGGTGCCAGGACTTTGAAAACCACTGGGTTTCTCTCCTCTTTCTGTGGAATACTAACACCTGTTCCCTGATGTCCCCCAGGAACTTTGTCCTGCATGTTGGCTTGTCAGAACTTTGTTTGGTCTTGTGCAGCATTTTTAAGTGCTACAAACATTTTTCATAAATGTGGTTGAATTATACAGAACCATTGATAATTAACATTTATGAACATGAATAATTGTAGATGAAACTGCCTGTGTGCAGGAGAGAGTGTTTTAATTATTTGGGAAGAACATTTCCGGCTCAGAGACTTCAGAGGTCAGCACAGAATGCAAAGAATTCCCAGAGGAAACCGTTTTCTGGAGCAGAAGCCAGGACCCTGAGGAAAGACCAGCGCTTACCCTACACAGCACCTGCTCTGGCTGACTCTGCTCCTTGTTTACCACGTGCCCCCTGGCAGCTGTCACATCCGCACAGGAGATTTGTGACTCAGCTCACACTGATGTCCCCTCACTGTGTCTCTTGTACAGTAGTACACAGCCATGTCCTCGGCTTGCACACTGCTCATCTGCAGATATAGCATGTTCTTGTCGTTGTCTCTGGAGATGGTGAATCGGCCCTTCATGGGACCTGTGTAGCCTGTGCTACCACCAATATCAATGACTGAGACCCGCTCCAGCCCTTTCCCTGGTGCCTGGCGGACCCAATGCATATCGTAGCTGCTGAAGGTGAATCCAGAGGCTGCACAGCAAGAGTCTCAGGGAACCCCCAAGCTGGAACAATCCTCCCCCAGACTCCACCAGCTGCACTTCGCACTGAACACCTGCAAACACAGACACATCCTGGTCAGAAACTGCCACACACACCCGCTGTTACTCTCACTCACATCCATTCACACACCAAATATCTCTAGTTCTCCATGAATTACCTTGTAACAGAGCAACAAGGAAAACCCATCTCAGTCCAGTCTCCATGGTGAATCTCTGTGTTCAGTCCTGATCACCGAATGGGGACACCTGGGAATGCCGGGGCTGGGGCTCCTCTCCCAGAGCTGCAGGGTGAGGGCTGGGCTAGTTTTCATCAGCAGAGAGAGGGCCCTATTCGCATGTCCCCTGCTATATAACAAGCTCTGGGTGGGACACCTGAGGAGAGGGAAGGGCCCAGAGAAGAGAGGAGTCCTGGGGAAGATTATGGATCAGAACATCTTAAAGATGAAATTCTAAAAAGAGAAGCAAGGAGAAGTTCTTCAATGTCTGCAACATCAAGCACATATCTGGTGAGAGGTACCTGTGGTATCTGGGCCTGTGCTCCCCAACACTACACACCGCTTTTCCACTGAATCAACTGCAAGATCAATGTGAACATGCTTCATAGGGTTGGCAAAGTCCTTGTTCTGTAATGAGAACATGATGCGATTTTCCTGCATTCCAGTGTTACAACTTCAAGGTTGTATCAAACTTTGGGCCACAGAATTCACACTTCCTCTGACACTGTTGTGAATTAACTGAGACATGAGCCTCACTCAGCTGAGGCAATACAGGTTCACAGGTATTGTCAAATGCAACTGCTGCTTCCTCTGTGTTGGGCCAAGGGCACAAGACTGGGGAAAAAAATCCACTGAAGTTTGTCCTTATATTTCCCTCTTGCTAGGAAGGTACACACACGCCCACATTCAGTCCATGTGGCTATCACAGGCTTGGGACAGTACCAGACCTAATCTCTGTGGAAGTCATAGTATGAGTGTGAGTGGTCTGGCTCCCCTGTCCACTACTGCAGTTAGCACTGTGGTTGTACTTGACATTCACTAGTGTTCCCTCCCACCTTCATTCTGGATCCTTATAAACCATGGCCAGCACTTTCCACTGAGGTTTGCTGTGTGTGTTCCGTGATGGAGTGACTCAGGCCTGAGCACTGCAGAGCCATTGTCCTTCATCCCTTCGCCATCCTCAGGCATGTGGTTGATGCAATTGACCTCCCCAGTGTTGAATGCAGTGGAGAAACCACAGAAACTGCCTAGGCCTGAGGGACTGCCCCTGTCTCCATGGATACACACAAGCTTAGCCTCCAAAGCAGTTAATGTCTTCCAGTGGGAGAGTGTCTTTCATTGTTGACTGGTCCATAGTCATGAGAACCCGAGTTGAGGGGCACCAGACCAAACTTCAGATTCAGGGGAGCACATTGTATCCCAGTAGGAGTGATCCTCCCTGGGAACCAGGACTTCTAACCAATCACAGCCTAACATTGTGGCACTAAGAGGAAAGATTTCTCAAGTTGTCACTATAGTGTGTTGATAGGAATTAATCTCACCTCTACCTCTGATTTACAGATCCTGGTGTCACAGCACTCTGTAGAGCCCAGTACATGCTGCATTCTTTGTGATCAAGGAATCCCTGCAAGGGACCTTGGTATAGATTAACCAAAACTCATATGTTAATTTTTGTTGTTGCTGTGATTATCGTTGGACTCTTAATAAACTCTTTCTATACGCTTATATGTAGAAGATCTTTCCAACATTTTCTTCTATAATTCTTCTGTTTACCACTCATAAAAATTAATTCAAGGCAGATAACAGATTTAAACCACACCACAGTTTATCTATGACAGAGAAGAGTCCATGAGTGGATGCTCTCATCTTCCCCACATAGGTGAGCATGACAGTTTGAGGACAAAATATACACCCAGAGAAAGAGATCAGCAGTTGCAGGTCTTGTAAGGGGAATTTAGTGCAAACACTGATACTGGTGCTCTCCCCATAATACTCTGACTTTCTGATCTTAAGAAAAAAGAACTGAAATATTCACACCATTCATCTGTCACTGAACATTGAAGATGCACAGAAACCTTGAGAGAACAGCTGGAACTGCTAGAGAGGCCTGCACATCTCCACAGGAAACATCGGTTTGCATATGATCTGCATATAGACATAGATGAAAAGACTTAAAGAATATAAAATGTATGGCATGTGAGTATTTCCTCCTATTCTGTAAGTTTTCTCTTCTGATAGTGTCCTTGGCTGTGCAATGAGGTCCTATTTACTTATTTTTGTTGTTACGGTGACTGCCTTGGGGGTCTGGTGGATGGACACCCTTGAATCTCAGAGTGAGGTGGAGTCAAGGCAATACATGTAACCTAAACATTTGTAACCCCATAATATTAAGGAAAATATGTGAAAAATTAAATAAAAATATTTACAATTTGCATAAAAGGAAATAAACCTGGGTGACTGTATTTGTACTGTTAAATTTTTATTTCATTTTAATGGACAAAAATGCATATATTTAATCTAATAAAATGTGTTTTGATATATGTATACCGTGCATATTGATCAAAATAAGAAAACTAGCATATTTCCCCATCCAAAATATTGATCATTCTTTTCATTCCACAATATTATGGGGATACAAACACTTTGGTTACACATATGCCTTGCCTCACATGAGCCAGAGCTACAGGAGTGCCCTTCAGCACACAGTTCACTCCCCATGCATTAGTTGTGAGTTTACACACCTCCATGCTCCCACCTGTCTGGTGTGTATTGAATATTACTACCATGTGAACACCTTAGTGTTGATTAGTTAGTACCAATTTGATGACGACCACATGTAGTGCTTGTTTTTGCATTTTGGTGATACTTCATTTAGTTGAATATGTTCCAGCTCCATCCAGGATAATAAAAGAGGTGCTAGATCACCATTATTTTGTGTGGCTGATTAGAACTCCATGCTATACAGATACCACATTTTATTAATCCACTCGTGTATTGTTGGGCACTTGGGTAAAATTTTATTTATTTTTGATTGACAAATAATAATTATATATATTGAAGGTATGCATTGGGATTTCAATACATGTATACATTGTGGAATGATCAAATCAGCATAATTAGCAGGTCCATCAACTCAAATATTTGTTATTTCTTTGTGGTGAGGATATTTAAAGTCCTATGTTTCAGCAATTTTCAAATATGCAATACAATATTATTAACTATAGTTTACTATGAAATACAACAGAGAGCAGTCTGTGATTGACCCAAGTATAAATAAAATATACTAAAATAATATATGATAAAATATAAAAGGGTTTTGCCTGAGTTTTGGTCCTCTTCAAATGCTGTAAGTATCTTACTGCAGAAATTCACCCATTGACAATATTGCATATCCTTAATACTGAAGCACAGATTATAATTATATCTAGGAATCCATACAATTTTTTTAAAAGTACCCATATACTGTTATGGTTTTTACCTCTTATCATAGGGACAAAGAGGTACACCTCACCTTAAACACTGTAAGTATCCCCTTGCCTAAATCACCACAGTCATAGCATGCATCATTCCCAAATACTCTACTGTGGGCTTGTATGCTCTGACTCAAAGAGTAGTAAGTTAAAATTAAATTATTTCATTATGACTTAGTCTTAGGTGTGACAAAACAATACCCCATGTATCATATCCTTACAGTAGCAAATACAGGCTGATGTAAGCTAAAATAGACTCTGCAATGATGAAACCCATGATTCAGGAGCAGTTTAGAACAGAGGTGATTATCCCAACGGCCTCTGCTCTGGCCATCCCCACTTGATGTGTTTGACTGGGAAAGACTGAAGGACATCGCATGGTAGGTTACTGCAAACATCATGTTGTGACTCCAGACACTGTCACCACATGCATCTTACTGAAATCGCTGACTCCTTTCAACCAGCAACTGGTAAACATTTATCTCTTACAGATTTGGTTGCTATGCTCGGACAAGGGCACATTTAAACAGGCTCCCAGCCACAGTTTAGCAAATTTATTTTAAAAAGGAACCTATAATTATCAGCGAATACAAAATAATCATGAATTACTTGGAATATATACTATTTTCTTGAGCAAATAAACTAAGAAAATAAGCATGTTGCTAACTCTATATATGAATATGCACAGTTGAGATATTGTGAAGACAGAATTCTGTGCTGACTTGAGTTGCCC